TGACGACAAACCCTCTCCTCATAAATATCTCTAAATTCTTTAATGAAAAGCAGAGCTTGGACTTTGGTCCGAGTCTCGACGGAGGAATTGCAGAAAGTTGAGGCGCAAATAAAAGCAGAGAAATCGAAGGAGGGGTTAAAAGTCATGCCAGGTGGCGGACAAGAGGGAAGAATTCCGCGTAGAGCGCAATGACCTTCTTTAAAACAGCCCGCGAGCAATCGATCTACTCCTTATCGTCGTACGCCTTCCTTCTCCACTTCGCATGCTCCGGTGTACTCCCGCAACCTTAACAGACGCGCGTTGGCGTGCGCTAAGAGCCAGAAACGTCGGCCGACGCCCGCGACGGCTCCAAAACCCAAAGGGGTGTGTGTTGCTGCCGCCTTCGCCGAAAATTCACTAAGAAGCTGTTAGCTTGTTACGATATAAGAGAGAGCGAGACAGCGTTGGGGGGGGGGGTGACCGAGATGGAGGTAGACCGGTAACAAGACGATAAGAATGACAAAGAGGGTGAGAAGGGGTGCGACATCAATCGTCCGCAACAGTACAAAGTTCTACGTAACTAACGTACACGACTGAACTGTAGGTGTAGCCGTCGTTACCGACGTTCTAACCTCGAAAAATATCGAACACGCGGACAGCGGATTACGGTTCAACAGCTCCTATATTTTCTCCACTTTCATATAAGAAACCATTCAAAAAGGCAACTCTGGCGTCAAAATCCATATATTCGTTTAAAAAGTAGAAATTATCCAATTGTCTTTGGTAAATCATATCAAACACTCGGGTTCGCTGTTTTGATCGAACGGCTTTACCTCTCGTGATGCGGAATTCAGTTGCTCTTCACAATAAACTACAGAGTTTGACATGTGCGCCCATTTATATATACAAAACGTTATAATTTCCAATGCAAAATATGCGCACGCACTTTTTGCCTCAACATTTATAAATAATAGTTCCCCACCATACCGTACACCAAGCTAACAATTGGATAATTTAAGTTTTATTCAAATGAAGTTCTATTCAAACGGGCATTATCGAGTTCCCAAGATTGCCCGATAAAGCAAAGGTAGTGTTTTCTCCGATTTAAAATCCTCTAAGGCTGCAAATTAAAAGCCGTCGTAACAGCAAACTCGCAAAGCAGAAAGAGAGAAAAAAAGCCATAATCCATTCTTTACTCTCGTTGCGCGCGCGTTTGGCATTTTGCCGGTCGACGGTATCGCCGCCATCCCTACAAATGCTCCGCAGACAAACTCGCAATTTTCAACCACCACCGTCACCACCACCACCACCTCCCATCTCCCCCCAATCCACCTTAGCCCATCACACACTTACTCGAACACTTTCTCGAGCATTTTCTTCTTTCGGCGCGTACCTTCCTTTTCTCGCTTCCTTTCCACGTTCGTCCTGAAAATGTAAAAGCACCCATAAATCATAGGAGGGGGAAAAATCGGGACGCCATAGTCGATTCGCTCTCCTCCTCCTCGTCCTTACGTGCTCACTTCACCTCCCACTAGACTATTTTTCTTTCCACCCTTCTCGTTATCACTCCGCCAACTTATCCCTGCCGCGATTCCATTCAACTTGGCTATGTGTTTAACGAATGTCTCGCGATTGGTAAAAAACATGGAACCTCCAGCGAAAAGGATTTTCCTTCGTAAGTCTTCTCGGGCATAAAGGAATCAATGTTTAAATGGCCGTGATAATCGATGAGCGCGAAAGGGGTCTTTCGTAGAATAAAATACATCCTTTTCCACGTATATCGCGTACACAGCCAAACAGGTCGACAGACACTTGGCTAGATTCATTGATAGATGGATGGATAGATGGATGGATGAATGGATGAATTGATGAATGGATTGATGGATGGATGGATGGATGGATGGATGGATGGATGGATGGTTGGTTGGTTGGTTGGTTGGTTGGTTGGTTGGTTGGTTGGTTGGTTGGTTGGTGGTTGGTTGGATAAGAATGGGTGGTGCACGTGTGCTAGCGAGTGCATCGACAGGTGCGGCTGTTGCGCACACGTCTGTGCCATGAGCCCCCTCCCCCGTCAAGGAGCCCATGCTCCTCTCTGCCGCTAATCCATCGGCCGTCCCGCTCTACCCCAATACCCCGTGCCCTAACCCGTGCACCACCGGTTGGTCAAAGCAAAGATTCCACGCCGGCGGGGACTAGCGCCGCCTGGCGTGACGAATGCCAAGCTCTGGGCCGCCCTTTGCGCCTCTCGTCCCTTGGAATATACGGGATACTACCGCTCACCGAGTTGACAAACGGACAAGAGTAACGCTGGATCTCGGGGGCTGGACGCGGCTTCCTGGCCACGTCCTCGTGCGCCTGCCTCCGACGGCTGGGCGCAACAAGCCTCCTCTATTTTCGTAACTTGCGCGACTTGCGAGGACCGGGGCGGCAGTGGTGTGTGCGCGCGCAGGCGCTCCTTGGGTCCACCCCACCCTCACCCCTTCCCCTCGTCCTCGACGTCGTCGGTCTCGAGTCGCTTCTCGACGGCCCCTCCCCCGCAACGACAGCTCGTTCGAGCGCTTCGCCGTCTCTCTTTCACTTCGCGTATGCCTCCGCTTTGAGAGTATAGTGGAGACACGGCGCGTAACCGGTCACTGGTAACTTGCTTGTTGGTATTCTCGCTGTCTCGCCGGGCCCCGAAAAAAAATCGCCCTTGTGCATCCGAATCTCCTCCTCCCGGTTAAAGTGTTCGGACTCGTGGTCTCCGGTAGGTCGACGATATACCATATTCATGCACTCTTTCACACCCTGACTTTTCTGAGCCTTCCTTTCCTCCTTCCTTTAACCGCTGTCCAATTGCACTACCTCTCTCTCTCTCTCTCTCTCTCTCTCTCTCTCTTTCTCCCTCCCTCCCTCGTTAGCTACTACGCTCGCACGTAACACACACCTGTGTTTATGCAGCCGGCGACCGTCAAAAAGTGGTGTTATTGTTGTGTATTAGCACTTGTTTAATGCGGCTGCTGCAACTGAAGAGAAGCAAGGTTTGATTTTCATCGTTTATACATTTTATTGCTTTATAAAGTGATTGCGAGATGTAATAAGCTCTTTAACAATCGGAGTATTTTATTGACTGACAGGCGTCTTCCGCTTATCCTTCCACCTCCTTCCGTCTATTTCTTCATCTCTTGCATCACTTTCTCCGGGAAAAGGAAGTAAAAGTAACGGCAGCAGTAACAGTAACAATACTCGGTAACAGTACTCGGTAGGAGTAACAGTAGCAATAGCTGTAGCTCTTGCTGTAGCAGTAGCGGTAGCGGTAGCCATACTACTAGCAGCAAAAGCAGCAAAAGCACAAAACACAAAGCACAAAAACGCCAAATCAGTTAAGACAAGGCAGTGTCGGCCAAGCGTGAGAGAAACGCGATGGTCCGAACCAAGTTTCAGAGCGTATCTGCGTAAGCGCCACCGTGAATGAACCACGCTCTTATTGCTGTACATCAGTGGAGTAATAGTAGTAGCAGCAGTAGTAGTAGTAGTAATAGTAGTAGTAGTAGTTGTTGTTGTTTTTGTTGTAGTAGTAGCGATAGGACCTGTTGTAGTCGCTGTTCCGAGATAGTCGAAAGCTGTCGAGACGAAAACGGCCACCACCAGTGTCTGTATCGCGTCTCACTCACAAACACGCGTAACCGACCAACACACCTACGCATCGCGCACAAGCCGACGACGACACACCCTTAAAATACTGCAAGCGCGCTTTGTCTTTTTCGCACTCGCACACCGCGTCTTTAGCCTTAATTTCTCCTACCTCTCTCTCTTTCTCTCTCTCTCTTTCTGAACTGTGAAGTCGCTCGCGATTCCTCGAGCCGGGAAGTGTGCGAAGATAGTGCCAGAAGTGGTCAGGTATGTCGAAGCTTGAGAGCCGGTCCCACCAGCAAGAGCACGACCGTTGATTTTCTTGCGAACCACGGGGATACCGGCGACGACCTTGTGTGTACATGTGAGTAGTGTGTACAACGTGAAATGTACAGATAGACGTAGAGAGAGAGAGAGAGAGAGAGAGAGAGAGAGAGAGAGAGAGAGAGAGAAGCATACACACACACACACACACACACTCATATATATATATATCCTGTCGCTCCACCCCACCATATTCCACCTCTCTCCATTTAGCCGCGGCAACTATTGAGATTACCTCAATCAATCGTCCCTTCTATATCGGCGCCCTTCGGCCCGCGCCACGACGCCGGTACTATCTAACAATTTCTTTCATGATACAACATTCTCGGATATACCAGGGTAGCGGCAAAGTCAAGGCAAAAGAGAAGCAACCGACTATCTGCCAGGAAACAACTACAAAGACGTCCGCGTCGTTTAGCGAAAGAGACCATCGATATCGCGAGAACTTGCGTCTCGTCTGAGATCTTACAAGACCATCAAACTGTGGGAGAAAGACGCATCGAGATAAATAATTAAATAAACAAATAGACTGATAGACATAGTGAGAGAGTGAGAGAAAGAGAGAGAGAGAGAGAGAGAGAGAGAGAGTAAAAGAGTGAGAGGGACCGAGAGCGGGAGAGAGAACGAGCGAACGAGTGAGATAGCGGGACAGTGAAGGGGAGGGGCAGAGAGAGCGTGCGAGGGATACGTATTATACATAGAGCAAGAATAACGTGTGTGCGCGCGCGCAAGCAGGCGAAAGGAAAGGGGGGACGAAAAGTTGCTGCCGCCGCCGCCGTCGCCGTCGCAGCGAGCGGCCGATTCCTTCCTCGCACGCTCCTTCTATCGCGGTCTCGCTCTCGTTTGCACGCGTACGCATACTCGCCCCCGTGTGCGTGCCTCTGAACGCGCGCACGACTCCCAGCAGCCGCTGTGTGCACACCGGCGTCAGTGTGCGCGCGTCAGTGCATTTCTGTGTGTGCGTGCACTCGGCAGAGTTCGGCGCACGCTCCCTCTACTACACCGTAGACGTTCGCGCGCCCTCTCTCTCTCTCTCTCTCTCTCTCTCTCTCATCAGCTCTGCCCCTACCGACTCCCTCTTTCGTTCTATCTCTCTCTCTCTGTCTCCTGCGCGCTTGCGGCCCGACTCGGCCGCTCGTGCAGTGCGTGTGACACGAGCACGCCGCTAGGATGTCCGTGAGAATGGAGAACGTGGCCGCGCCGAGGAAGCTCAATTACAAAATGATGGTGAGTACCAGCGCGCGAGTGAATACGAATTCTTGGTCGGCGGCGAGGGCGGCGGTGGCAGCGGCAGTGGTGGCAACAACGACGACGACGCGCCTCGATGTCGCGCGCGCGCGAGGAGGCCCCGAGCCCTGCCTTCCCCGGTGACTCGCGAGTGCTGCTGCTGTTGCTGTATAGGTGTCTGTCTGCCCGCCTGTCCGCCCGTCGTCCGCCTGTCTGTTTGTCCGTCTGTTCGCCCGTCGGTGTGCGCGTATCTCTTCTGTGCGTGCTGCTGTTGCGTGGCCGCCCGGCCGTGCATGTGTGTGGGTGTGCACGGCTGACGGTATGCGATGCTGCTGTGCGTGGGAGAGGAGCAACAGCAGCGGCGGTGGCCGGCGGCAGCGACTTTGCCGAACGTCATCCCGAGCCGCCCCACCAAAGAAAGATTCGAGGGACAAAATGTGTGAAATCCCGGATGAGAGGTTGATTGTGTGCGTGCGCGCGCGTGTATGCAACACGTATGTCATAAGTTGCTTTTCTCTTTGGAGTTTCACAATGTACGGGAAATATCTGCGAGAAATTAAGGAGTCCGTTTAGTTTCGCTCCACTTTGTTTCTCCTCTCTTAGACACGCACGCATACGCTCTCTCTCTCTCTCTCTCTCTCTCTCTCTCTCTCTTTCTACATATACATATATAAATATATATCTATGTATGTGTTAGTGTGTGTGTGCGCGCGCGTATGTATATATTTATATATATACTTGTGCATGCGACTATGCATTCGCATGCTTATACATGCATGCACGCGTACGTCGATGCTCGAGCATTTGAGCGTGTGCGTGCGCGCGCGCGCGCGCGTGCATCATATTCCTCATCCTCACGATCTCGCCGCAAAGCAGCAAAGTCACGGGGGCGGCCAATGGCCAGAGGCAGAATCGCGGAACCGGCGTAGTTTGACAGCTTGCCGCGGGGCGTCTGCTGCCCCACCCAATCTCTTTCTCCCGCTGCTTCTCTCGGGTTCTATCTTGCCTGATTACTTGCTGTTTTCCCTCCCTCACCCTCGTTACCGCCACTTCTCCACCATCCCAATTCCATTTCACAGTCTCTTCCTATAGCCAATGCGGTCTTTCTCTGTTTTAGACCGATTGACGAAGCTCGACATCGTGTCCTTCTCGACCTTACTCGCGCGAAAAGCTTCCTGTATAGATTTTTTTCTTTGGTCGCTTCTGCACTTTATCACTCTCGCTTGCTTTATATATATATATATATATATATATGAGTGTGTGTGTGTGTGTGTACATGATGAAGTTTCTCGGGGTCCATGAACGTGTATGAATTCGAGGTTGGAGCGTTCGTTGCCTCGGCGCATGCTCCGACGACCTTTCGGCTTTCTTTCTTCCTCTCCGTCCTATGTGTTTGCAGCGAGAGGGAGAAATCCTTGAAAGTGTGCATCTTTGAGGATCCGAATTAATGCTATCGGCTTTGCCAACTCGCCGTTTTATCTTTTTCTCATTACCCTGGCGAGATGAGACGAATAATGAAAACGGAACAATTATTTACGAACCTTTTCCATCCTTGATTGCCTGATATAGGATCTGCGCCACAAACGCACACACACATTACGTGTGCCCGCGCATTGGCACTCGCGCACACATGCGTACGAACACTCTCTAGTCAAGTGCGAGGGAGACGAAGAGGGAGGAATAACGTCAATTTTTTTAAATTGGATATAAGCACCATCTGGTTGCTCGTCGTGGAAACACGCGAAGAGCATTCACGTGCCGCCGGTTGAGGACAGCTTCTCTTCCGTCGTCGTCGTCGTCGTCGTCGTCGTCGTCGTCGTCGTCGTCTTGGTCCCCTCCCCCCGCAATCGGTCTTATCCCGCTATTTTCCCTCTTTTCGGCAGCGATGTGTGTCGCTTCACTTGCTATTCAGGGCGTTATTTTCATTTTTTTTTTTACTTTTTTTTTTCGTTTGCTTTATCTATTTTTTATAGTAAAACTAACATTGTCCATAAAATTAGAGTCTAGATATAACTATAATAAAACTAGTAAATATATTTGATTTTGTTATATATTTTGAATCAGAAACCTCCCATTATGTAAATATCTGTGATACGAAGTGGCTGAAATTTAATTTTATTATTCGATATACTTAATTTAATTATTGATTTATATCAGAATCGACAAATTTATTATTCACCCTTTTTTTTATAATAAACGATTGAATTTCAAATATATTGAATTTTAAATATAATCAAATTAATTCATAGCTTACAGATATGAATAACTTTCCAGTTCAAAGTAAACTCTCGTTGACCAATGTTGCATAACGTCAAAATAAAAACAGAATAATGTGGGAGCGTTCCTAACTAAAGTTCACATTAACTTAATCTCACTCATAAATATTAAGTTGCAAAGGTTGTTACAAAATATTTTAAAATATACTTACAACTTCATATCTATTGTGAATCACTGTGCATACATTCACTTCAAATGTTTTTATATACAGTTAAATTTTCTATTAATAATTTAGATAAGATTATTAATTAGGATTTTTTATTTAATATACAAATTTATCGTGATGTTGTCATCTATTTTGAGTAATTTGTCAATTCAAAAAAGGATTGGAATGCTTTTGATAAACAAAATATTTGATAAGGAAACCTAATCTACTTTTAAATGATCTGTCGGTATACATAACCTCAAATCGCAAGTCGCCAATTGTGACACGTGTAAAACAAAAATTTTCCAAATCATTCAACTTCTTCCATCCATTGGATGAAGCTTAGTTTACGTTACCATTATGTCAATTACATTATTATACGAACATACGATTTTCTTATTGTGTGAAAAAAAAATTTTTTCTTTAATTAAAATATAAAAAATTATTTTATTAAATTATAGCATAAGGTTTGAATTAATTTATAACTGATAACAAATCTTGATAAAAGTGATGTTTGCTGATTATATTAGTAAATTTATTTACAAATAACGATCTATCGACTAATGAATTTCGAGTTATTATTACTATTGTATACAATATTTCAATGACAGTTAAATCCACTGGATGAATCTATATACATAAGTCAAGTAAAAGTTCATTAATCTCTAATAAATATTTTGTTAATCTTTAATCGATCAACGCCGGGAATTGACTAGCTATCTCTAATCATAGACTTTGTTCGACATTACAATAATCCACCGATGCAATTTTTCAAAGCCCTTTAATTTTACATAACAATCAAAATATCATCGTGACATCAAGTCTGAGAAACTAATTGTCACATTATCGTTTCACAAATACGCACAAGTTTAGCCGTACGCGAGCACCGAAGGAATAATTACATTAATGGAAGCTTCGCCGTTGTCCAGTGCATAGTAATAACCTACGCGTTAGGACGAGGCCCGTTGAAAAACGAAAGGACAGCGGCAAATTTGTGAGAAAAAACATGTCCATGCCGAGCTCGCTCGAGCAAGGCCGGCGAGTCCCCACCCCCTCCCCCCGCTGACGCCCAATCATCGCTATCCGTCGGGCTCTGCTTGTGGGCGACATTTTCACTCCCAACGGCATCCCGATAAAATTGCCAGGCCGAAGCGAGAGGGAGCTGTGGCCGACGGGTGACAGTCACAGTCGAATGTAAAATGGAGCGTCCGACCCTTATCGATCCCCGCCCGTTTATACACGCGATGCGTACGCGTGCGCAGAACGGCTGGACGACACGCGCGCACCGGCTCCGTCGTCGACGCCGACGCCGCCGGATCCTTGCGACCTCGACACGAGTGGCCCGTGAATTCGCGGCCGCCGCGTTAAGGAAGCGAGAAGAAATCGATCGATCGACGACGCCCTTCCAAGACTCTTGTCGTCACCAACACTGATAATAGTGGTGAAACCTTGACAGGTATACTATCGCGATTGCTTTTTCTTCTTCTACTTTTTTTTATTTTTCATTGGATGTGCGCACTCCTGTGTACACGAGTGCGAGGCCAAGAGGCAGCAGGTGATCGTAACAAGTTCGGTAGACATCTCCCCAAAGTTGGCTCGATCCGCTTTCCATACTCCATAATGATATGCAAATGATGCGTCGCGAACCATTTAATTTCCTTTACCTTTGTTTATGCACGAGTATGGAACATGTATGGAAGCTATCCGATATCCATTGGCGATCTTCTTTGATATTATATCTTCTTTTCATTGATACTACCATATCGATATTTCGTGCGTGTTTTCAAATGAATAATTAATATTTATTGTCCATGAAAAAATTGTCCATGCTTTTCCTTTGCAAGTACTATCTATTTTATTGTAATACTTTTTTTTTTAACAATAACTCTTTTTAACTCACATTATTCGTGTAGAGAACAGCGTTTATTTTATACAAAGTTGCTGTACTTAATCAAATATCCTATTAATTCGTCAACTGGAGCAATTTATTGTATTTACTTTTAAGATAAATTATCTGTGAAGCATGAATAACGGCGCTCGTTACAACAATTTCTGCTTTTAAAGTGATGTAAACAAATTTTTATTTCAAAGTTTCAGAACGCGTCAATGTTCCAATTACTTTACGCATACATCATTATCATAAACTTTAAACGGTTGTTGTTCTAGTAAAATATTAATAAGTGGACCGTGCGAGTGCAATAAAGCAATTTGTACTCCCAAATGTGTCGATCAAATATTTATTATAAACGAATCGATCGATGTTATAATATCGTTAACAATAAAGATTTGCTCATAGTCAATATAATAAATGATTTTGTTTACAATTTCGTCTTTATCAAATTTTTAAAAATGACAAAAAATTTCTATATTTCTTTGTATATATCTTTTTTTTCGTAATAAATTGGTTCCAAATTTTTCAAAATATGCATATTGTGATAATATATATTGCAAACCCTGTATAATAAAAAAGGACGGATTTTACTTTCTTGTAATTACGACTCACACAGCTATTGTAACAAATATTTACTTCATCTAATCAAAATATCTTCACCAAAATACTTTCGATTTTTGAAGCCTA